CTCTCATGAACACAGAGGCAAAAATCCTGAATAAAACCCTGACCAATAGAATCCAACAATACACTAAAAAAATTTACTATGACTAAGTGGAATTCATAACAGGTATGGAAGGATGGTTCAATATAAGACAACATTTAATCAGTGTAATTCACCACGAGTCGCAGGCGACTCGGCACATAACAACAACAACAACAACAACAACAATTCATCACATTAACAAAGCAAAGGACAAGAACCAAGTGATAACTTGAGGCAGAAAAGGCCTTTGACAAAATCCAACACCCTTTCCGGATTAAAACACTCAACAAAATAGGTATAGTGAGAAATTTCCTCAACATAGTAAAAAAAAAAAGTATATACACAACCCAAAAGGCAACATTGTTCTCAATAGAGAGACTAAAGACTTTCCTTTTTTTTCTTTTTTTTTTTTTTTAGATTTAGTTTGTTTATTTTTCATTTTGAGAACAGGAACTAGGCAAGGATGCCCATCTCCTCTCCTATTCAGTATTGTATTAGAAGTCTTAGGAATAGCAACAAGACAAGAATAGGAGGTACTGAAATTGGCAAAGAGGAGGTAACATTATCTCTATATGCAGATGACATGATATTATACTTAGAAAACCCTAAAGACTCAGCCAAAAAAAACCTACTGGACATTGTTGACCAATTCAGCAGTATACAAGTGTCAGGATATGAGATCAACATAAAAAATCAATTGGATTTCTCTACAGGGAGAAAGAGAATGCAGAACTGGAGCTAAGAAAAACAATCCTCACCACAATAGCTAACCACAAGATTAAATATTTGAGGGTAAATCTAACTAGAAACACAAAAGATCTATTAAAAAAAATTACAAAACATTACTACAAGAAACAAAAAAAGCCCTGAAGAAATGGAATAGCCCTTGTTCATAGATAGGAAGACTTAATATTGTGAAAATGACAATTATAATAAAGGTAATCAACAAGTTCAACACAATCCCAATACAAACACCAATTCCATTCTTCAATGAGATGGAAAAGCCAATTTCCAATTTTATTTGGAATGGAAAGAGACCCGGAATAAGCAAAGCACTCCTTATAAAGAAAAACAAGGTAGGAAGCATCTTACTCCTTGATTTCAAATACTATTACACTGCCGTGTTGGTTAAGACGGCTTGGTATTGGTACAATGACAGACACATACATCAATAGAACAGAGAGAACCCAGAAATCAGCTCGCCTACCCATAGTCAACTGATATTTGACAAGGAGATGAAATAAGTTAATTGGAAAACAATAACCTTTTAAACAAATGTTGTTGGCAGAATTGAAAACTATCTGTAGAAAATTCAAGCAAGACCCACAACTCACACCATACACAAAAACCAACTCAGGGTGTATCAAGGACCTAGAACTAAAACAAAGGACTAGAAACTTCATCAGATAATTACTTGGAAAAACTCTAGAAGCCCTAAACCACAACATGAACAGTCTTCCAAGCATCCTGAAAAACCTACAACCAGGAGAGAATACAATAGATGAATGGGACCTTCTAAGAATCAAATCCCCATACACATCAAAAAACTACTCCAACGGGGTAAAAAGGAAAGCCACAGACTGGGAATAATATTTGGTATTGACATGTCTGAAAAGGGACTTATATAGTAGAATTTATAAAATTCTCGAACACCACAAGATAAAAGTAAACAACCCAGTCACAAAATGGGCACAGGATAGGAAAGGACACTTCAAAAAAGAAGACAGTCAGATGGCAAACAAAGCCATGAAGGAATGTTAATAATCCCTAGGTCTAGGAGAGATTCAAATCAAAACAACTATGAGATATTATCTCACCCCAATAAGAATAGCAAAATATTAAAAAAAAAAAACAGTAAACAACAAATGGTGGCTAGATTGTGGAGAAACAGGAATCCTTATTCATTGTTGGTAGGAATGTTGAATGGTGCAACCACTCTGGAAGTCAGTATTGCACTTTCTCAAAAAGTTAGAAATACCATTCGACCCACCAATTGCACTACTGGGAATACACCTTAAAGAAACCAGGACTGTCATCCAAACAGATATATGCACACTCATGTTTATTGCTATGTTCTTCACTATAGTAAAGAGATGGAAACAACCCATGTGCCCATCAACAAACAAATGGATATCTCAGTCACAAAGGGACAAATATATGGTACCACTGTTATTTTTTCTTTTTTAAAATTTTATTAATTTTAATGAATATTTACAGATATTTTGGATTTTCATTGATTCATTCATTCATTCATTCATTCTTGCACTTTTATGCCTGCCCAGCCCTCCCCACCCCACCCCAGTTCGCTCCTCTCTTTGAAAAGCAAAAGGGAAATTCTTTCTTTGGTATACAATCCCTCTCGCACCCCTCCCACCACCTGAGTACACTCCATTATGCAACCTTAATTCTGGACTCTTGTAATAACCATAATACCCTTTAATATATCACTTTTAAATTATTCTCTCCCTCTTCTGTTTCAATGCAGTATGCATAATTTAATCCAGTTTTTCTCAGTCTTATCCAACCCTGATGTCAGTCCCATTCTACAACAGTGGCATGCAGTATTTGTCCTTTTGTGACTGAGATATTTCACTCAGCATAATGTCCTCCAGGGCTACCCATTTTGAATAATACTGCATTAGTTCCTTGTTTTTAAATGCAGCGTAGTATTCCATTGTGTGAATATACCACAGCTTCTTTATCCATTCGTTTGTTGATGGGCGCTTGAGCTGTTTCCAACTTCTTGCTATTGTGAACAAAGCCGTGATAAACATGGGTGTGCATATATCTGCTTGGATGTCGGTTATGGTCTCTTTAGGGTATATTCCCAGTATTGGAAGTGCTGGGTCAAATGGTATCTCTATTTGCAACTTTTTGAGAAAGCACCACACCACTTTCCACAGTGGTTGCATATATGGTGCCACTGTTGTAGAATGAGGCTGACATTGGGGTGGGAGTAAGACTGAGAAAAACTGGATAAATTATGTTTACTGCA